GCACGGTCTGTAACCCATATCCTTCTGGGAATCTCGATGGGCCGGACTAGGGGGTCCATAGTGGGGCTGGTTGTGTTGCCAGAAGGGACCAAAAGCCAGGTGAGTCGGAGAAGTGAGCCTCGACTGTGGACAGTTGAGAAGGGGACTGCTGAAGAGGGGAGGGGGCGTCCGAATAGAAGCGGAGACTGGAGCAGGTCTGGTGGGTACCCCAGACGAGTCCCACCTCCGAATACACACACCTCAGTCTTTCCTGGGCGGGGGTGGGGGAGTGGAGAATTGAAATCCAAGCTAGGAAAAGAGAGAGGAGACGTGACCCTCTGGTACGCAGCTGGATGCTCTACAGATGTGGGCAGAGGAGGGTCGTCATCCTCCAGATGTGGGCAGATTCAGGAGCCTGGGCTTTCTACTCCTCCAGCTCGCCCGCCGCGGGTTAGCGATCTGGGTTTGGTTTTCGAGTTTGGGGGCAGGGGTGGAGAGGAAGCTGCGGGGACGGAGGAGGGGAGACCGCAATCTCCTGGGGTTTCCTTATGCCCCCGCCCCAAAGTTTGCGGCGGATTCTAGGGTCCACTCCCCCGACTTGGTCCTTAAGGCTGAGGTTTTTACTGACCTAGCGGGAAATGGGGGGGGGGGCAGGTCCTGTCCTCTACCCCCAACACACACACACCCTCCCAATCCGCGGGTTGGAGGCACAACAAGGAGATTTCGGCGGCGGCTGATGTCAGGGGTGCAGAATGAGAACAAGATGTGGTGAAGGGGGAGCTGTCTGCCCCCAGAGCTGGACTGGAGCCCCTTTCAGAGAGAGCCCAATGCGGCCAGCGCCCTCCCCACCTCAATTCTTTATCTGATGTCGGGTGCCTAAGGTTGGGTTGGGGAGTTTTGTGCTGTTTTTTTTTTTTTTTTCGTATGTGTGTGTGTTGGGGGGGGAGACTGACAAGAGCGGCAAGTGGGGGATGGGATTAAGCTCGTTCACACACTACGCCTCCCCTTTCACAAATCAGAGTGTTCCAGCTGATGGCAGACCAGGTATGGGAAACCGCAGTCCTCTGAAAGTGTTGGGGGGACCAGGAGACTGTCAGTGTGTTCGCTAAGGAGGACTGAGGTCGGGCACCCCAAGCCTACTCTGTGGCTGGGTTTTGGAAGTACATGTCCCACATTCCAGGCAGATGGATTTTGCTCCTCACCCTCACCTCTGCCTAGCTTGGAGCGGTCAGGGAGCCCCTACTCCTCTAAAACCCTTAGCACAAAGCACTGGCTTGACTGACGCCAGCTCTGGGGTACCAGGAAGGTGGGGGCTGGCTGTACTAATATCCCAGTGACCGAAAGCCTCTTTGGGCTCTCTCCTTCCAGCCGAGAGGTTCTCTGGGACTCAGGGTGGGAGACCCCAGTTCCACCCTGTAGTCCCTGAGAGCCCAAGGCGGGCTCTGCTTTGGTGAACAGGGGCAGTGGGAAGCTTGGTGCCGCCCTCACTCTGCAGCGCGCTGCCTCTAGTGCGCAAAGCAGCTTGCGTCCCCCACCCCCTGCTCTACACTCCGAGTCTTTGAGGCGCTCCCCTAGTCATCCCTCCCAATACTTTGCCCTTTCCTTCCTTTCTGTCTGAGTCGAAGAAAGGAGAGAAGAGGGCTCTGAGGTCTGTGGTCTCTGCAACTGCTAACAGACACATCTTGAATGATGAGCCTCCATCCTAAGGTCCACTTCTCTGTGACCGAGATGGAAATAGGAAAAGAACCCCCCCCACACACACACACACTCCTAACCACACTGTGAATGGGAAAACCCCAGGAGTGCCTGTCTTCACCTCCTCAGGGATCCTGGCATGACTGAAAGATCTTGTCTCCTCTCCCTTCCCATACCCCCTAAAAACAGACCTCTTAGCAAATATCTCTGCTCACTGGCCCTATCTCCAGGTGGAGGATCTGGAGGTAAATGCTTTCCTGGAAGGAGATGGTGACCAGGCTTATAAGAGGGAAGAGAGGTGGGAGTCTAGGGTTAATTTTGAGGTTAGGGGAGCAGGCCCAGTCTGGGGGGGGGGTGGTCCTGTGTTCCTATATCTAGACCAGCTAGCAGTGCAACTGAGGGTATGCGGAGAACAATTTCTTGGTAAAGGGCGCTGCCTGGACTGTGCCCTCCCCCATCATTCCAGTTCCAGTCCTATCCAGGTGACAAGGGCAGCTGTATTTCCATTGCTTGAGAGGGACTCTGAACTGCCCCCTGTAGCTTTCCCCTTCCCCTTTCCCTCTTTTTGGTTTCTACAAGGCTTCTGTTGGCTGCAGGAGTCCCCAATGTAGGTCATGAAGACATTGGTCACGAGGGACTTGAGGACAGTCTTACCCGCCCCCTCCCCAGTTAACTGAAGCTAGTTAACCTTTTTTCTTACTGTATTTTTCTTGGCCCCTTCCTCTTGCAGCCTCAATTAGAGGCCAGAATTCCTAGAGTGGAGATCTAGACATATGTGTGTGTATGTGTGTGTGTGTGTGTGTGTGTGTGTGTGTGTGTGTGTATTGGGGAGGGAGAAAGGACAAAAGAGGAAGAAGGGACCCAAAAGTATATGTTTCTATACTGGGGAGAGCAGGGACATGGGCCCCAACCAGCTCCCTGGCAGGCCACAGCCTCCCAGGTTATAGGGAATGCTGGCCTTTGCAGTGTGTTTCTTACAGTGTGAGGGCGTGCGTTTCCCCTCCCGGGAAGGAGTTCCTGAGCATTCCCTCTCGGGCTGTTGTGTCACATCTGGAAGTTTGTGTAGGAGTTTCTCCAAGCTCAGAGCCCAGCACAGCTTTTTCTCATTTGGAAATCACAGGCTGGCATTTGGGATGCCGAGAGAGGAGGGGTGGGAGGGGGGCCAGGGAAGGAGAGAGGAGCCTGCCAGGAGTTGGGGGGAGGAGAAGGGGGGGAGGCCTGAGAGGCAGGAGTCCTAATGGCTTCCAGAAGTGAATGTGAGTGCAGGGCCGTGTGTCACTGTGTGTGTCTGAGTGTGTCTGAGTGTGGGCCTCTAGAAGGGAGGAGGCCCTAGGAATTTCTGTAGTCTTCCTTGCCATTGTCCCAGTGCCCCAAGTCTTCCTATGCTTCCCAGAGGATTCTCCACTGGGTCCTCAGAGGAAGTGTATGTGGGGGGGATGTTGTTTGAATCTCATATGTGCCCTCGTCCCATTTCCAAGCCTTAGACCATCTCAAGTAGATTCTGGGAGAAGGGCTAGAGCAGAGAATTCAGTGGCACTGGAGGGGGGGGGCAGAGGATCTTTGGCAATCTGTCCCAGATCCTCCTTCCTTCTGGGTCACATTGACTCCTTTGCACACATGCTGCTGCACTGCTGGGGGACTCCCCATCACCCCTAGTGCCAGTTGGAGCCATTCCTGGGATTACCCCTCCATCCTGCCCCCCTCTACTGCTCCCGCCCCAGCTTTCACCCCGCCCTGCCTTAGTC